CCCCCCCCGTGCCACCGCCACTGAGAAGATTTCTCACGAACTGTGCAAAATCCAAAAATCGTACGAGGAATTAATGAGAGATAGTTTTATTTCAGATCATGTGGAGTGCGAATACAACAAAGGAAGATGTCACGCTTTACATTGTTAATTATTAAAATGTTGGAAATATGTATAAATAAGTAAATACATTTATACATTGAAATGTCAAACATAATCTATTGTATAGTCAATGACATTAATGGCTACATTGTTATGAATTTTAGTGACCTGCCAATTAAATGATAATTACTATTGTATTTAAGAATATTTATGTCATTTTCATCATACATTGCGTCTTCCATTAACAGCCAAAAAATGCCATTAACATCCTGTCATTCAATCAATAACATACTACATACACACTGGGTCGTTCACCTATCTTGCGAAAACAGTCATTCTCCATGAATATCTTGTAAATACTGTAATTTTCCTTAAATATATTGTTTTTCTACGCCAGACACAGGTCAAACCTCCACATAAATGATGAGTTTTTGGTGAAACTTCGTTTGGTCATATATTAAAGTATAATCAATGCCATTAATGGCTGCATTGTTATGAATTTTAGTGACATGCCAACTAAATGATAATTACTATTGTATTTAAGAATATCCATGTCATTTTCATCATTCAACAGCCAACAAATACCATTAACATCCTGTCATACAATCAATAACATACTACATACACACTAGGTGAGTTTTGGGTAAAACTTCGTTTGGTCATATATTAAAGTGTGTCAGTCGTCGCGCTGCGCATGTGCGACATTTGTGTTGATAAACAATGATTTTTCCACAATCTAAACTGCTCTTCTAATGGAAATCACAAATATGAGGTTTGACCAGGGTGTGACTTGCACTGATTACCACCGGTGACTTCTTCGATACCTTCCAATCACCTAAAAATACCCAATTAAAGCTTAGTAACGTCTCAGTTTGTACTTCTTGAACTGCACAACAGTCAAAGTAGTCATCTTTGTTTATACAAGACCCATATATCTCGCGCATGCGTGGCGCGACGACTACCATCCTTTAATAAAAATTGTACATCCCAGTAGTTATAAAATGGATAATTATGTATGCCCTGAATTATTAGGAAATTCTGATGATTTTTTGAAATGTTTTAAATTAGATTTGACAGTTTTGTTTTTCTCCAAAAAAAATCGTACAAGGAAACAAATCCAAAAAGTTGATAACTGCCCAAGTCAATAATTAAAACAATAGAAAATGTGTTTAAAATATTGTAGCAATGATCTGATCAGATTCAGGATAATCATAAGTTAAGTGATTCGTATTGTATCGTACATTCTATGTGAACAGTTAAAATACTATACTCGGCTTGTGTATTTCCGCCCAATCAACACAGCATGTTGACTGTAATGAAAAATTCAAAATGACCACAGAGCCAAAGATGAAGCTCTCAAAGTTTTGAAGTGAACTATATCTACCTCACGGGATACGAAATGATCTCCCAAGCCAACTCAAACCCTTCAGTAGCATGTGGATGACCTGATTCTCACAATCTGGCAGCAAGTCAGATAAAAAGCCCAGGAGCTATCAAGAATCATCTCCTTGAAACATCTTTTTCATTCCCACATTCAAGAGACACCTATTATATGAACTACATTCTTGAACACAGAGGTATGCAGTACAATACTGTAAAATACTTTATTTTAGCTGGAATTAATTTTCGCTGAAAAGACTTTTTGGGTGTTTTGTCTGGAATTTATATTCACTGATTTTTGACAAGCTGAATATAAAATATAGGAAAACAGGTATATTCACTGGATTTTATTTTCACTGAATCATTCCTTCATCGAAAATTAATTCAGAGCAAAAGTATTTTACAGAAGATGCTTTATTCTCAATATTGAAATATTATTGTTTTATTGGGTCAATAAAAAGTGAGGTAAATTTAAAAAAAACATCTAAAAAACAAGCCATGCATGCATATATAGTTTTGTTTATAGTAATATAGCTGGAATATAACCATGTCAGGAATATGATGATTGTTTAACAGTAGAATGATTGACATTTGTATCTGATCGTCAAATGAGTACTTGTCCATATTGAGAGATATTGCTCTGGAACATCATTAATCAAAACAAAATCAGCCATTTTGAATACATGTATATATCTGTAACATGATGTATAATGAATATGTGAAATTTGAACATAATCAGTCAAAGCATGTCAGAGATATGTCACTAGAGGCCCATTCAATCAAACAAAATAGCTGCCAGTCAGCCATTTTCAATCCGATCTGATAAAATAAAATGACGTGCATCAGGAACCCATAATGTCTAATGATATAGCACTAAAACCACATTCATTAAAACAAAATGGCCACCATTCAGCCATTTTGAATCTTATCTGAAGAATTATTTGCATCAAGGTCCCATAATGTTCAATGTATATACCAAGTTTAAACAAAATCCATCTGTGAACAGCCAAGAAATGCTTGATTTAGACGATTTTTCTGCACAAAAATGGCGGCAATTTGGCTATCTTGAATCAGATCGTGAAACAAATTGATGTACATAAGTATAATATCATGTTTGACGTATGTGTGAAGTTTGATTGTTATTGGTCGAGGCATTTCTAAGATACAGGTCTGGACGGACGCACAGAGGTCAAAACATAAGTCCCAGTTTTCAGATTGCGTCCGAACGGGGACTAATAAGCCATCAGTGGCATGTGCATCTATAAACAGTTCTTAGACAAACCTTTGTGCTCATCCCGCATTTATTCCAAATGCCTCAAATGTCATTTCAGCCAGTAATTCAATATATACCAACTGACCAGGGCAAAATAATAAATGGATAACTACGTGTTATTATAGGAAGCAACTATCCTAACACAATGCTTATAAATCCATTTGGGTCTTCTCATCAAAGCTGATGAGCCTATAATAATGGTATGTGTACTTGCTTGGACTCCCAGAATACAATAAAAACAAGCCATCAGTAATGGGTGATCGATTTGAAATCTGGGTCGAGTGCTAGAAAAATTAGTCCTTCTTTCCATTTAGAGTTCTTTTTGAACTTCTGTTGAGAACTTTCTTTCAAATGAGTTACCCCTGACTACTATACTCTTTTGCTAGTACTACATGCTGCTGTGTAAAAAAAACCAAAAAAAACATGACACCAGGAAGCAGAACAGGATTACATTAAAATTTTGTTATTTAATTACAAAAACGTGACCTAATATAATTTGTTTGTCCCCTTGAAAGGCTGGCCATAAAAAGCCAAGGTGGCAAATTTCAGATCCTGTGGGGTGCATGAACTACAACGCATACAATTTGGCAATGCATAGTTTTATGTTTGTTATACCCTCCCCCCAATTTTTTTTTTTAATAGTACAAAATATTTCTAAATTTAAACAATTTTAAAGGGAAAGATTTGTAGGTATACATGAAGGACAATGGGTTAAAAGAGTTTTTTTTTTTTTTTTTACAGAGAAGATATATATAAAAAAAATCTTTTTTAAAATGCTGTACACTAAAGCTATCAAAAAGACCATATTTATATGGCTTGTCCAGCACTTAACGGAAGACCACCTTTGAAGTAAAAATTAAGCCACTATCCAAGACACTTAATACTCTGGAAGATGAGTACACTGATACACAGATATTAAAAAGCACTACATAGATGTGTTTAAAAAGAAATTGCATGTAACTGAATTCACATTTTCAGCAGAACAGTACAAAAACAGGTAACATACAAACCCAACATACTCAGAACAAGGATAGAAATTTTATGAAAACTAATACATTGCATCACAAGAAACATTAAACTATTAAAATATTTAGAGAATCAGAAAAAGACTTGTACAAAATGTAAGTTCTCATTGAGTAACCAATTATCGACAGTTAGATGATGACAGCATTGTGCAACAGAACAAATCAGTATCTAGTACCAACTAGTAGTCAGTAGAAGGAAAAGTTACATAACAGTGAGATTTGAATTATATCTGATTTCACAAACGTGTATGATTATTTCACAAACCAAGTTTATAACTATATACATGTAAAGAAAATGAACTAGACAAAAAAAAAAGTTACTTTAACTGAATTTGTTTTTTACACCAGATGAAACGAACTTCTCCCTTACACCATGAAGTCCAGTAAATAATTATCACAGTGAGAAAAATATAGTGAATAATTATAACTCTAGGGAATCCAAGTTAATAATCACTACACTAGAGAGTCTAGTAAGTAATTACCAAGCTAATGACTATAGTGAATAATACCAAACTAAAAACAACAATGACCATGAAGCAAATATACTAAATACACAATTTTAAAAATCTGAACTATGACACTATCAAATCTTACTGAAACACAAATTCAGGAGAAGATAGTAGTTCCAAAAATATTTTCTAAATTGATAAATTGTTCTGAGATGCAAATAAATTTGACACTGAATGTAAAACACCTTAGAATTCTACAATGGCAGTAATGTGTTCTGTGGACAGAAAATACCCCCACACAGACCCAAACCACTGTATATGCTTCAAAATTCACAATTACAAGAGATATAGAAGACATTACACATTAATACTGCTTAATGCTGATCCAAATGTAAAGTGTTTACTATCTCCATACACCCTCACCTATGTACATGTACACAGCAATTATATACGAGTAAGACGCATATAAAACTAATTTCTCTTTCCTAGCATGTAGTGAGATTAAAAAAATGCAGCCCTGCCACTGAAGCAAATTTCACATTAGACAAAGAAAGTGACTGAATGGAATTTCACAATCAAAATCATTACATAAGGAATCTCAAAAAATATTACACAATGGAATAATGTTTTTATTGTAAACTAAGTTTTAGCAAAAATTATGGTGCAACTTTTTGCACAATTTTATTTATTTATTTTTTTAAATTTTGGTTAATTTTGAACCAAATGGACATAATTTTATAACCTATTTTTTTGGAAAAACTTCTTTTGTGGGAACTAAGTAAAGTTTACCTTGGCATAGTTACTATAGTATATTTTAGTGGTATTGGATGAAAGTATAAAGAACACATGGCATATTCAAACAACTGTAAACTGTATTCTGTCATCTTTGTGTGAACAGCATGCAAGAAATATTTACTCATTGTGAAAAAAAATGCAAATGGCTATTCAAATGATATGAACCAGTCACCATTTGGGTAAAAAAGTGGCTAATTATTCTGCTGTTTTCAAATACAAAATGTACTGTATTTTCTTATTAGCAGTGCATCTACAAATAGACGAAATAAAGTAAGCTAGAGTAATTAATTTAGAATCCTGTGTTACCTATTTGGCCATCTATTTTGCATCAACAAAATACATTAACACTAAGAATCTTCACTGAACCATTTAGGTTACTTGAGGGAGATAGAGGGCGCTGTCATTTGAAAATATGTCCAATTATCATGATCTAAACATTTCATCTTTATATGAATACAAATATTTTGCCTTTGACCTCCAGGTACATTTGAGATGACAACTAATCAGTGTCACATGTCATCAATGACAGTAGAGCCAATTTACGACAAATTAAACAAAAATAACAAAAGTTTTTTTTAACAAGTCATTGAAAATGACACGGTCCCCGTTAAATTTTTGAAAGTTCTCTTTGAGCTCGTCATATTAAAGCGGCAGGGTTGTTGCAGGCGTGCGAACTTCGTCCGAACGGGGACTAATGATATATCATTTTACGAAATGCAATCCCATTTTTTTTACACTGAATATTCATTCATTTTTACTTTGCATAAATAGAAAGTCTAAGAATTTGTTAATACTGCTTGTAGTGTGCCCAGTTGGAAGTAGTCTGTCTGACCTTTGACACTATGCTAAACTTTTACTTTGTAAGTATTGCTTATTTGCATAGCCTGTCTATCTTTGATTCAGAGGACTAAGCACCATGTTAAAAAAATGCTATCAACCGCTTTATCCATATTGAGTAATGAAAATATATTGAACAAATTTCCAATCATTTAATAAAAAATACAAAAACATTTTTTTACAGCCATTCTATGGCTAATAAGACAGGCACTAGTTTTCAAGCCAGGGGCAGGAGGTTTAAATAATTTTAAAACATTTAAAATGTGACAAAACTACTATGAATACTAACCTGCAAAAGCATTTCAATAAAAATAAATACCTAAACCACAACAAAATGATAAAAACTCGCTAAAATGTAGTTACAAAATCAAAGCAGTTTCAAAGCCATGCGCATTATTATTAAAGAGGAAATATGATTGGGCGATGAATAACAGGTACTGCTAACCACTCAGATTTTTTTATTTACAGTAAGTGACGCATATGAACAATAACGATCACTACTAGCATGTTTGAAAGGTACTATTAACACTAATAAATCTATGTCTGTACATGTATATAAAATAGTTAGTATCATGTCTAACTCGTCAAAGAGAAAATAATCTTGCATCTTAATAAAAAGTTGATTAAGTTTTCTAACAAGATGTTGTAATGTACAACACCAAAACTGTTTGCTGATCCATGGCAATGAAACATCTGTTAATCAGTCCAACTGCGTTACATTTCTTTGACGAGATAATTGATATTTACGAAAGTCTGGAGAGAATTGTCTGTTTATCATCTCACAGATTATTCAAATAGAAGCCTTATCCTGTTATAATTTTTGTTTTAAAAAAGCCCTCTAATTGTATCTATCATCTTGGTAAGTTGCTTCATATTTATAAGACTTCTCTGTAGTACTTCCATTGCGGGAATGTCTTGATGGTGTACTTCTGAAGCTGGTTGTGTTCTGGTTGACTCGCTTCCTTTTGAAGAACCCACACTGAAAACAACACACACATGAATGTTAGAGTAATACAATGTATACTATAATATGCAGCTGAGAGAAGAACACACAGAAAAGGAGAGCTGAACAAGTAAAACAAAAAATGATATAAACCCAAATCTGGAAAACAAAATAAATCATTAAAATGCTAGTAGACCATTATGATATAGTAACAATACACCAGGCAGCTAGGGGGTCATATGCTAATATGCAAAAAATGTTGTGCTCTGTAAAACAATGGTACATCAACATCATAATTTCATTACTGAAAAATTAGTCTATTAAAAATAAATCACTCAGATTTTTTAAACTGCAAATGAATTTTCAAATTACATAGTTTTCAATCCAGAGACACATACAACCATAAGTTAAGAATTTGTATAGTATGCGATAAGAACCCCCTAGGTTGCCTCACAAAAAACATTACAACAATACTAATATGAACATTTTCCCATGCAATCTATGAACAAAATAAATGATATTTTAGCAATGGATAAAGTCAGCAAATGGAGGTCACTTTGTAGCATGCACCTGAACTGAATTGACAAAACGCAACCTTAGCACACAATAACAGTATCTATCACGTTGTCGCTGCAGCCATATCAATATTTGGCATCGTTATCCAGTATTTTTCCCTTAGTTCTTCGGTGTCGTAGCGGTTGAAAAATCCAGCCTGCGTATGATACAGCAGATGGGATGAAGATGGCAGCGGAGGTAGAAATAGAAATGATGTTAGTGTCACAAGACTAGCAATGAAAACAAATGGGAATGATGTATTCAGTGTAGACATGTACCTATATATCAGCTCATATGATATAACATAGTTGAACTCTGGTGACCTTGCCCTTTGTTATATAATATAATTCCTTTAACATATTTTGTTTTAATATAAATATGCATTGTCATAATTAATTTTGAGTACAAACAAGTTTTGGGGTTGAACCAACAGTGGGGAATCAGTCTACCGAATGTCCTTTAAAGATGTAAATATCTTACAAAAACATTGGTGCCTTATTTGTTTAATTATTTTAAGGGACATAATTTTCAGCTTTATTCAAAGTAATTCAGATATTTTAGTATAAAAACAAATGCCTCATCGCAAAAAAAAAAGTGCTGCATTTAGACGTGAATAGATTCATAAAACATGCAAGACAACAGAAAATCGTAGCTGGCTTTTATCCAAGTATTTTGTACAGGTGTCTGTCAAAAATTAATGATTCACTGAGACAAATATGAACTGCCTCATTGTGTGACTACTACTGTATTATATGAAAAGTAAAAAAAAAAACACCCTTTATGAATAGCTATCATGTTGCAAGCTCTGCTTTGTATGCAAATCAACTTAAATAGTTAGTTGGTGTCTAGTGGAGGGAGAAGTCAACAGTACTGTTGCCTCCTGAAAATCTACAAACACTGCAATCTTTGAAGTGCGTTTTTAAACTAGTATTATAAAAACTCTATCATTCTGTTCTAATAGC